AACTTGAACTTCGTTTGTATGGGTCATAACCATCTGGATCCCACAATAAGAATGGGTGTACCACCAACCGTCCCTGCCAGATCATTAAGTCTCCCTTAGAACATATGCCAGTCCAGTCCTTGATTGCCACTAGCCTCTTTGATTGCCACTAGTGTGTTTAATTGCCACTAGCATGTTTGATTGTCACTAGCATGTTTGATTGTCACTAGCATGTTTGATTGTCACTAGCATGTTTGATTGTCACTAGCATGTTTGATTGCCACTGAGTGTGTTGATTGCCACTAAGGTTTCTGCTATTAGCGTGTTTGATTGTCACTAGCCTCTTTGATTGCCACTAGTGTGTTTAATTGCCACTAGCATGTTTGATTGCCACTAGCATGTTTGATTGTCACTAGCATGTTTAATTGCCACTAGCATGTTTGATTGTCACTAGCATGTTTGATTGCCACTGAGTGTGTTGATTGCCACTAAGGTTTCTGCTATTAGCATGTTTGATTGTCACTAGCCTCTTTGATTGCCGCTAATTTGTTTGAGTGCCACTAGCATATTTGATTTCCACTAATGTGTTTAATTGCCACTGGCATCTTTGATTGCCACTTAATCTCTGGTAAAAAATTTCTGTATTCATCACTGTAATAGTGTCTTTGATTGCAACAGTAGTGTGTATGAGTGGCAATCAGATATGTTAGTGGTAATCAAAGACGCTAGTGGCAATTAAAGACGCTATAATAATAATAATGTCTCAAATTTATGCGCCAATTCCAAACAAGATCAAAGGCGCAACGCATGTGAAAAGCCACCGAAAAACAAATAGGTCTTAAGCTGTGACTTAAAGTTGCAAATAGACTTGGAAGAAGTTATGTAATTTGGAAGTTGGTTCCAGAAATAGGCAGAAGCAAAAGTAAAAGAACATTGACCGTAGGTTTTGTTACGGCATTTAGAGACAGAAAGAAGGACTTGGAGATTGATTGGAGACAGCGAGATAGAGTATATCGGGAAATCATTGAACGTAAATATGAAGAAATATGAAGGTGGCAATCAAACATGTTAGTGAAAATTAAATACGCTAGTATTTATAATAATTTATTTTGTAAAATATATTTTAATTATAGATTACATCTGATGGTTATAAGAACATTGCCAACGGGTGCTCTAACATTCAGACATTGTACGTAAATGACAACAACACAGTGAGAGATGACAGCATAGTGGCTTTAGCCTCACGATGTCTTAACCTTCGTTCTGTGTCCTTCCTTGGGACGCCCAACATCACAGATGTGTCAGTTAAAGCTATCGCACAACACAGAAAGCTGCAAAAAATCAGGATAGAGGGTGAGTAATATTAATAATAATAATTATTATCATTGACTTATATAGCGCATATTGTAGAGACCTATGCGCTTAGCATTAGTAAAACCGGTCATTGGATCAATGCCAACCGCTTCCACCTATCTGTCAATCAGTCAACCAACCAGTTGATTTACCAATCAGTCAACTCCGCCTATGTAATGATATAGAAATGGTTGTTGACCGACATGGATATTCTACGAGATACGCTCACTCGCTTAATGTTATCCCCCCAATTCCGAATTGCTCTGTAATGAATGGCTCTTTAAAAATCTCTGGAGCAAAAGTTTGGAACAAAATCCCAATCAGAATTCAAGAATGTCAATCTCTTAATTTATTCAAAATTACTTATAAGAAACACTTTTTCTGATTTCACTATTCATTTCCTTTTATATTTTCTTGGTCTGTACTTTTAACATTTATTCCCGGCCCCGAAACTTGGACTCTGAAGTACCGGGTTGGTGTCCGGCAGGGGATAGTTTTCCACCAAAGTTTTAACTGTTGTTTATTTTGTTGTACTGTGATGGTTACTTTTGTTGTTGTTATTGTAATATGTGTTTGCAGGACCATATTGTAAAACAGCGGTAAGATCTCGCCTGTATACGTTATCCTGCCTAAAGATGTTTTAAATAAAAATAAAAATAAAATAAAAAAACTCAGCCAACCAATCAACCAGTCAATCAATCAACGATCAACCAATCAATCCATTAATCAATCAACCAATCAATCAATCAACCAACCAACCAATCAACCAGTCAAAAAATCAATCAATAAAGCAATCAACATATCAACTACCAATCAATTAATCAATCAATCGATCAATCAATTATTCAATCAATCAATCAACCAACCAACCAGTCAATCAGTGAACCAATCAATCAATCAATCAATCAATCAACCAACCAGTCAACCAATCAATCAATCAATAAAGCAATCAACATATCAACCACCAATCAATCAATTAATCAGTCAGTCAATCCATCAATTATTCCATATTTGACATTTGCATTCCATATCCCACTGCAATTCAACTATGATTTTCTATTTCGAATAAGGTATACAATTGTATTGTATTTTATTTCAATATATTGACAGAATCTATAGATCTTGCAAATACTAAGTCTTGTTGATTTGGCCTTCATGCTCACATGATCAATTAGGGATGTACTCCTTAATCCTACCAAATTAGTGATATTTATTATTAATCCCAATAATTACATTTTAATCTTATGGAATCCATATATTTTGGATTATTATTGTTGTTGCTGATTTCATTATTACTATTTAAAAATCATTGTTTATTGATAGAAATTTAGTCTTAGATGTATAGATAGAAATTTTCTAACCTACTTGCGAACAGCCGTAGATTGTTATTATAATTATTATTTTTTATTTGTTATTGTTAAATTATTATTAGTATTAGTAAGAATAATAATTAATATCATTTATTAAAAAGTTAATTAATATACTGTAGTCATATTCCCTACATTAAATGGCGAATATTGTTCTAATCATTATTTTAAAGTGTAATATTCTTCTCTAGGACGATATAATTAGATTTAAGTCCTTCACAGTTCAATTTTTTACCCATAACTTTCGCCTCAAACGACGTTGGCCTAGCACCTCCCCGACATATGCTTTCAGAAATTGCAACCAGGTTGGAATACTAAACATACTAAAAAAATTGAAAATATTTAAAAATTAATTACACATCGTCCACGATTTCACCAATTGACCAGCTGTAAGGCAACGGATAGCATAATTATGATCTTGTACATGGTCACTGACTCTAGCGGTCATGGTTATTCTAGCGGTTAGTCTGGCTGTCTAGTGAATTTTCATTCATGTGAACATTGATATGATATGAACATTGTAATGCGATACAAGTTTTAGTTAATCCTTGGCATTATATACACTATACACCATATTTTTTTCTTCTGAACTTATGTGTAATTTCTGATCTGACCTGACTTAAATAATCTTGTAAAAGCTAAAATTTAAAGGTAGGATAATAACCGATATCGTGCAGTGTCATTGTGCAAAATTGCGTATGGACGTGGTCCGTGACTACCTAGCTGCCGTAAAGAAACGCTCAGTGTACATGTTGATATCATTCCACAGCGACAGGGGCTGAAATTACCTATAGCATCGGGGTAGTCCCTACTCTTCCGAAAGATTCAATGGGTTCTTTAAAGTGCACACTAGCCAGATAATTGTAAGATTTATAAATCGCACATTAAGCCAGATGTGTACACTGGATCTCCCTTTTAAGTCCTTATCCAAGAAGACTTGGTTCTACCGACTGAACCCTGGGTGAGGAGCGGCTAGAACCAGCACCAATGTTAGGGCTGTAGTTAGCAATGCCCTACCTTAATGCTTGACCACTCAACTCGTAACAAATTGAACAGCAAGAAAGAAACTCAATTATAATGCTATTGAATAGTTTTATTTTTAATTGATCATGCCGGTGGCAGTCTGTATGGACCGTCATTAGAAATGATCTGTTGTTTGCGTCGTTGCGTTGCGTTCTTTATAGATCCGAGTTGGCCAACGACTGTCAGGTGCAGTATGTGCCAGGCTTAAAAGAATACCAGTTGATCATCCAGTGTAAGTGGAAGCACTTCTCTTTCTCACCCGAATCACCTCCTCAAAAGTGAGCTTAGCATCAATTATTGTACCTAGGTATTTCTACCTTATGCTCCATAAAGAATAACTAGACTATCACGCCATACGCCGCACCAAAAAAATCCCAGAATTATTTGGTGCCAATTTTGTGGATTTTTAAACTCCCTCAGAACAATTTGAAAGTTTGATCATAATAACTTATGTCTTGCTTGATGTTTGCATGTGTGCAACAATAGCAAAATGATTTGCAGACTTATTTTAATGAAATTGTTTAGAGAATCAATAAAAAAAAACTCATTATTTTCGGGGTTTTTCCTATAATCATTGGTAAATCCCTTCTAAGAAGTTTTCTGTAGGTATTTATATCTAATTTTAGATACAACTCCATGATTAAACCATGAATATAAAATTTGATATAGCTTTCCATAATCAAACTGTATCATTGATTGTGTTAATTTATACTAAATACAATAATTGCTTCTGCAGATTGTGGTTAATATATATGGATATTGGAAGGATAATTCCTGATTGGTTTTCAGAGAATAGTCATAAATGAAAACATTTGCATGTAATTATTTATGTATTACCCAATTGTGCTATATACCTCATCATGAGAGGAGGTGTTGATAAAATTATGTCATTTAAATTACTTGTTAAATTAGCGATTGATTAGTGCTGCAAATGAGTCTTTCCACCATTCTAATGTGCAAAGCACTGTTCGAATTTAACTTACTTGGTAAAGTTAACCATGTTAATGGTCAGTTTGACTAATTAAGGGCCTGTTTCTGCTGAACAAAAAAAAACATGTGTTTTTAAACAGTTATTAAAAAACATGTTTTTGCCCACCAGAAACGGGCCAAAAAACAAAAACACGGCTAAAAATGCATGTTTTTGACGTTCAGAAAACAGTTTTTAAAAAACACATGTTTTTGTGCATTATTCAGCAGAAAGATGCCCTAAAAAAGTCAGTGTTAACAGCATGGGAAACATTCTTTCGGTTAAATTGCCTTTGCATGTAAATTTGTCAAGCAGATTGTGCAGAAAGGATACAGGCTAATTTCTTTAAGCAAATATAGTCCATTGCAAAGAGCGCAACTTGTTTGAATCTTCCCCGAGGGTGTGCTACGCAGCGTATTCGTGAACTTTCCACAGAGCCGCAATTAGACTGACCGTGTATGCACAAAAACTTCTAGAATCTGTCATTTAGCCATGATCTTACCTTCTGAGATATTTACATTCTGACCATAGTCAAAATGAATCCCATAATAAAAATTTAGCTTTATATTCTGATTAAGTTACCCTCTTTCCGTAAAAAGTGGTGGATCCAAAAATATGAAATAGAGGGAGCCCTGGGAGGGACTTTCACGGATGTAGGGTCTGTACCACCTCAGCCCCATATAAGACAATTTATGATTACGGCACCTCTAGATGGTCGGAAAAGGCACTCCCAAACAAAAATTTGAATATAATTTTCTTTTATTTCTCAATTTTCTAGTAAGGTATACATTTGTATTGTAAGTATATTGACAGAATCTATGGATCTTGCAAATTCTAAATCTTATTGATTTGGCCTTCATGCTCACACGATCAATTAGGGATGTACTCCTTAAATTAGTGATATTTATTATTAACCCCAATAATTACATTTTAATCTTATGGAATCAATATATTTGGATTATTATTGTTGTTTGCTGATTTCATTATTATTATTTAAAAATCATTGTTTATTAATAGGAATTCAGTCTTAGATGTATAGATAGAAATTTTCTAACCTACTTGCGAACAGCCGTAGATTTTTATTATAATTATTATTTTTTATTTGTTATTTGGCTCTAGATGGCTGGAAAAGGCACTGTCAAACAAAAATTTGAATATAATTTTCTTTTATTTCTCAATTTTCTAAATTTCTTAGAAATTTAGTGGTGGCTTGGCCTTCTTCAATCCCCCACTGTGTCACATAACAAGTAAAAAATAATTTTTCAAATATTTACTATATAGTATTACGAAGTTAATTTCATTCAAAACTACTATTCAAATGATTTACATTTTTAACATAATTTGCAAGATTGTTATACATGAGACTGTACCACTTAAACTTGTTTGTGATGCAATTGTTTACTCGCAAGTGTAAAGGTCATATTTCATCACGGTTTCATTCAGTGTCATTCATTTGAATTTGTATTTCACCACAATTTCCCCCCAGATATTAGAATAGAGCCATTAAACTAGAATACTAGCAACTTATATTGAAAGGCATTGCAGCTGATTCTGTCAAGTTGATCACAGATTTAAAACCTAACCTTCACATTTCACGATTTAGATGGATTTTTTTTCCTTTTAACTCTGAAAAAAGAAAATAT